AGGCTAATGAAGCCAAATTATAATTAAGTGTGCTGCTGCATATATTATGGCATCAAAATTTTGTGCCCATCTCATTACCGATTACTGATACCTGATTACTGACGAAGCGCCGCAGAGCTGTCGAAACGGGAATAATATATAGAAAATATATATCAGATAAATACCCCACATATAGCTATAGATTATTGTTGCTAGGCCTTGTGCGTCTCCGTACCAAATAATCATTCACATAATTTGTGTTTATTTTTGGCTATTGTCGTGCCCAATTAACATAATACTAATCTCCGGGGACGCAGGAGATTCCGGCTTATCACCAGTGCGCTGCTCTTTTCCGCTTATCTGAAAATGGTTCTTGGTTTGTTGTTTCGTGTTATTACTTTTTCGGTTTCGCTTCATACTTACATATTTATTTTTGTGGTTCTGCATTGCGGCTTCTTTCGAATATATGTATATGTGTTTATCAATTAAGTTCTCATAGAACACAAAGATAAGGCGTTTCGAAAATTAAAATTCATAAATTTGATAATAAAAACACGGTACTTTAATTGTAGTTTTTCCTTAGTGCATATGCAACAACTACACCTTAAACCCAAGTTCCATACAAAGTAATGATACAGAAAAATGCATTACAAATATGGCATAAAAGCGGCTAACACATACACTTACTAACACACGAACCTAGAGACGTGCTTCTTCTTCGTGTTCGATGTATCAGCTGAGCGAACATCACCCGCATGTTGCAGTGCATCGAATGGAGAGGGGGAACAGACAAAGAGAGAGAGAGTGAGAAAGAGGGGGGAAGAGAGATCGACCGACTAACCCAAAGTAGTATATGTGTGTGCCCTTCTAAAAAAGCCCCAAACCATAAAACTCACTCAAACAGCATTCCACTCAAGCCCCTCGTGACGTCAGCTGAATGGGTCAGAGAGAGAGAGAGCTTTTATTATTTTATTTTCTGCTCTCTCTCGGCGTTCTCTATATAGTTTCTTGTTCGCAATTCAGATTGGAGTTGTTTTTCAGAGCAGGCGGCGAATTCATTTGGTTTTCGAACGCGCAACTTAACGGTCGTCTTTTCTCTCAGCGGCGAACAACAAAATATTTAAGTCAAACGAGAGTGTGAGAGCCGAAATTTAAATTAAAAATCATATGAAATAAAAAGTGCAGAGTGTTGAAGAAAAGAAAAAACAAAGTGTGTGTGTGTAACTTACAATCAGATATTTATTTAACATTCAAGCACGCAAATTAAACCGAAATCGCGGATAGCAAAAGTCGGAGTCGCTTAGTCGCGTTTAGTAGGCGCCAATTGTGGGCACCACCCACCCCGCAAGTCCGCCACCCACCGCCTGCTCCTCATTTTCTTATTTTTCTTCGTTGGTGATGCGGTGCTAAAACAAAATCCACACGGAGTCCAAATTTGTTTTTGCCACACTTAACAATCGGTACGTTAGAAATCTAATTAAAAATCAATCTCGTGTGTGTCAATTGATAGAAATATTAAAAAAACAATATATAAACAATATATTTTATAAGCCCCGTGTATTTTACATGCCAAAATGGTATTCTCGAACATTCCAACTTGATTATGAAAGAAAAGAATATTGTTAGAGCCAAAAATGAATACATATTAATTAGCCAGATTAAAAATACTTAAAAAGGAAATACGTTTGTATCGGTGTAACGATTTTCGATTAAATTGTAGCCCTCTTTTTTTCTGTGTGTATAGGCTTTAATTTTTCGTGTTTGGTTTTTTTTTTTTGTAAGAGACTTTCTGCCATTGTTGGGCTATTTGCTGCTTTCCTTAGCCGCGAATGAGGAGAGAGAAAGAAGGCAAAAAACAACGATTTTCACTTTTATTTGAGACCAGTCTAGGCCAACACACACACAAACACACGAACACTCGCGTACAAACTATTGCACCTGTTTGCATGTCTGGGTTAACCAGCTGCAATGCCATAGAAGCACCGTTATGATAATGATAAAACCAACGATATTGCCTTCTAAAGTTTAAGGTTTACGTATCGCACACAAAACTCAAAAAATGACATGCCAAAACAATTTGTCTATAATTGTGAAATTAATTTCTGATAAGTTAAGATACACAGAGAAAAGTGTAAATGATATGAATTGATTTTGTGAAGTGTACGGTTTTGAATTATACTCTAGTTGATACCACTATATAAAGTTGCTAACAAAACTGGCGACAATATATTTAATTATCCTTATAGTGGGTTTTTGCAGACAAAAACCTGTCGAACAATCACCAACAGTTGTTTTATTGCGTCAAAATCCCCGGGAAGTCGAAAACTATAGAAAGTAATTAACAGGAAAATTATCAATTTTGATTGGACTTCACACTTTGACTAAGCCACTAACTAGCGTGAAGGTGTTAATTAAGTCAAAGAGAGGCGAAACTAAAATATTTAGGAGAGTGGCAGCGAGTTCCTGGCTGCGCTGCTCTCTTCAAGGGCGAATTCTTTGCAATTTCGATTGCCGCCGCCTCATGAAAATGCAGTTTAAACAATTACAATAAATACATGACAGCAGCGGCAGCCGCAATTTGTGCTTGTGCGCGACGTCAATGGCAATTAATAAATAACTAATTGTCTGTCCGGCTGAGCAAAAACAAAAAGAAGGCAAACTTAACTGGAACTGAGTGAATAACAATGCCCGTGTATTTCCACCGCCCACCAGCTCCGCCCTCCAATCCCCCCATCCGCAAAAAGTGTGAACCGAGCCACGCGGCAGTTCTCAAGATGCAAAGATGCAAAGCGGAATCACATCGACCCCGGACCCCAAATTCAGTTATATTACCCAATTCACACGAAAACTAAGCACAAATTAATACGCTCGTATTAGCACTCTCGCAGTTTCTTGACTTCATGTCTTTGACAGTGATGCGCGACATTTCCATATAAAATGGTTTAAAAACCAAAAAAACCGTTATTTATTACTTATTTGACACTACATTCTACATAAAGTCAGATAAAGTAAGCCAAAGGGTAAAAGTTAAATATTTTCTTCTCTTTTCTGAAATATAATTTCTGTACATTTTACCAATATTTTTTTATAAAATTATAAAATTTTCACAAAAAAAGTTTGAATTTCATAAACTAAGGCAATAACAAAAAAAAACCGTTATCATCAACAAGTTATCGACGTAAAAGATAAGATGATTGCCAGATGTACTAAAAAATCGAAAGTAATGTTGAACAGCTACAAATTTGCACCGCAACAAGTTTATAGTTTGAAAGGCCACTCAATCTGACAACTCTGCTCCGCTCTGGATTCGTTCTTTCTGGTTCCGCCGTGAGAATGATATAATTTGGCTGTAGAAAGGCCTTCGGCTAGATTTGCATGTGACTGATGGCTTGTGCAAATCGGCAGGTTGGGTCGCAATCGGGGGTTAACTGAGTTGTTTTGGCTCTACGAGTACACTGTGAATCATGCGCCGCAAGAAGCGGAATCCATTTGAATTGTATTATGGCGATTCCTTAACTCGTTCATCACCCACCGCACCTCTCTGGTCTTTCTAGTCGCTTGGGTCGCCCGGTTCTATCTGTCTCTTATATTCCGCTTAGTATATATTATATACAGATTGTGCGGCTGCCGGCCAGTTATGCCAGAAAATTAAATTTTTTGTTTTTGTGAACGCACAAACAAAATGATAAAAAGAGAGAACCCAAAACTCACACACACACACACACACACCCGCAGATAAAACTTATAGCAGAGATAGAGCTAAACGATATAATAGCCCATGCCATATAACATATAACAGTGGCACAAAACAGAAGGCGAAAAATTGGGGAATGGGATAACGAATAGCAATCGTAGGGAATTAGTTTTTCTTTTTTTTTTTTTTGTGGTTTTTGGGGAATAAAACAGAAGCGTTGCCTCGATAACAACGCGGAACTTTCAGCTCTTCTCTTCTTTTCGCGTTTAGTCTAGATCCGATACGATCCAATCCAAATTCGATGCGATGCCAAAAACTCATGTTGTTGCCTCTTCTTCTTCTGCTTCTTCTTCTTCTTGTTTTGGGCGAGAACGCGAAAAAGTGAAATAAAATAAGCAATAAATAGCACAGCATTTAATGTTTTGCGCGTAGGCTGATGGCGCACACAGCAACAACGGCGCACAGACAGACAGTCGAATTTAGCAAATTTAAAGCAAATTAATTAATTAAAAGAAGCCCCCCGGGCGGCATTTGGCATTGGCTAGATAAAATGGCAAAAATAAATAAATAAATAACAGTGACAATATCATGATGATGAAACGACAAGCAAAACGCAAAAACAGGGTAGGGAGATAAAGTTAGAATGGAAGAGGCGTACATATAAGGCAGTCGCTCTGAAAAACAAACCAATTAAATTCAAGGGAGTTGGAATCGTGGTACCTTCCCACCTTCTCTATTAAAAGCATTTAAATTACAGCAGAAAAGTATTAAATTTGGTAAAGGATTAACTTTCATTATAGACAACTTACTATTTATAACTTCAAATAATCGTTATACTAAACTTGTAGCTATTTAAGATTTAAGCAATGAAAATCTTTTAGGAATAAAACATTATTTGGAACTCAGAAGGTGCAAAAGGTTAAAGGGAAATTTTCAATCAGTTTTCCTGGTGCGAGTTTTCCTTCGTTGTCAGTCGACAACGAGGCTTCCGTTATGTTGTCAGCAGTTGCTTTTTAAACAGATTTCATTCGTTTGACCTCGACATTTCCACCTCCACCCAAAATTCCTAATACAAAATTTGGTTTGGTAGAAACCCCGAAAGCGAGCCAACCAACCACATACAACCACAAAATACAAACAACGATGGTAGTTTAGACCAGTGCAACCGAACCGGAAGATATTATATCTCACCATAGCCATAGCAATAGCCATAGCCCATAGAACATAGAACATAGACCACTGTCGTTCCTCCTTTTGGAAGTTACTTAAGTTTAAGAGCTAGTAACTCGGACTAACTAACACGGCTGTTCTCTTGTTCCACTTGCAGTGCGGGACACTAGACGGAGCCGAACCGTTGTATCATCAGCAGCGCAGCAACAGAATGGACGTCTACCAGATCGACGACGGTTTCCACTCGGACGGTGGAACGGAGACGCCGCCGCCGTCGCCCAGCTCGGGTTCGTCGATCGCCTCGACCTCGGACCACGGATCGCTGGAGAGCGTCGACACCGGCGGGACGCAGCGGCTGGCCGTGCTGTCGTTCGAGCAGGTGAGCAAGCTGCACGACGTCATGGACGAGAAGGTGGCCATACACGGGCGCGGCAACTTCCCAACGCTGGAGGTGACGCTCAAGGACCTGGTCAACCTGGTGCGCCGCAAGCTGGAGGCCGAGGTGACCGCCGGCGGTGCCGGGGTGTTAGTTAAGGACATCCGTCTCAACGGCGGGGCAGCTAGTCATGTTTTAGCCAGCGAGGATCAGCCGTATAACGACCTGGACCTGATATTCGCCATCGAGCTGAGTTCGCCGCGCGTCTTCGATCGCGTCAAGGTGGCGGTGCTCAACACGCTGCTCGACCTGATGCCCGAGGGCGTCTGCAAGCGGCGCATCTACACGTGCTCCCTCAAGGAGGCCTACGTGGGCAAGATGGTGAAGGTGAACAACAACAACGACGGCGACCGCTGGTCGCTCATCTCGCTGGGCAACTCGCCCGGCCACAAGAACGTCGAGCTGAAGTTCGTGGACACGATGCGACGCCAGTTCGAGTTCTCGGTGGACTCCTTCCAGATTGTGCTCGACTCGCTGCTGCTATTCTACGACTGCGCCGCTTTGCCCATCTCGGAGAACTTCTATCCGACGGTGGTCGGCGAGTCGGTGTACGGCGACTTCCAGGAGGCGCTCTACCACTTGCAAAAGAAACTGATCTCAACGCGTCAGCCGGAGGAGATTCGAGGCGGCGGCCTGCTCAAGTACTGCAACCTACTCGTTCGCAACTACAAGGCCGTCGACTCGCAGCTCATCAAGACGCTGGAGCGTTACATGTGCTCGCGCTTCTTCATCGACTTCCCGGACATCAATACGCAGACCACCAAGCTGGAGGCCTACTTGCGTAACCATTTCTGGGGCGTCGATGAGGAGCCGCTGCAGTATCAGTACCTGATGCATTTACGCGAGGTGGTCGAGATGTCCACCGTCTGTTTGATGGGCCACGAGCGGCGACAGACCCTCCACCTCATCCAGTCGCTGGCCGCCCAGGTGCTCTACAACAAGCAGGAGAGTCAGCACGCCCAGGAGCAGTACCAGCAACAGCAGCAGCAGCAGCAGCAACATCAGCATCAGCAGCAACATCAGCAGCAACAGCAGCAACACCACCAGCAGCAGCAACAGCAACACCACCAGCAGCAGCAGCAGCAACAACCGCACCGACAGCATCAGTTCCTGGATCCAGCGCAGCAGCAACAGCAACAGCAGCAACAGCAGCAGCAGACACAGACGCAACAGCAGCAGCCGCAACAGGCGGCCACACTGACCCTCGTCTCGCAGGCACCAGCCGCTGGTCAGGCGCAGACCATCTATGTGCAACAGGCCGCTCCAGCCACCGTGTGCTGCACGAGCAGCGGCGACCAGACGGCGACGGCCGCTCCACAGACCATACAGATACAGGCCGGCCCGCCGGGACTCATCTACGCCAACGGCGTCTACTATGCACCTGTGATCCCCAGCACCATCTGCACGTGCAACTCCACCTGGCTGAGCACGTGATTGGAGCAGCAGCCGCATCAGCAGGAGCAGGAGCAGGGGCAGCCTCAGCAGGAGAAGCAGCAGGAGAAGCAGGAGCAACAGAAGCAGCTGATCCAATCGCAACAGTGGACCAACTTTGCATTGGGATCGACACTCTTGGCTGAGACTGAAACTGAACCACCACCACTAGAAACAGCACCGATAGCACCACCATCTCAGCCACCACTACAACCACTGAAACCACTAAAACAACCACCACCACCAACACCACTAAAACCACTGTCACGAACAGCACCCGGAACCCAAGTCCAAACCCAGATTAGCCCCACGACAATCGGCAGCAGCATTGGCAGCAGCAGCAGGAAGAAGAACAAGGCCAAGACCCAAAGCAAGCAGACAGCAGCAGTAGCATCAGTAGCAGCAACAGAGAGCAGCTGCAAGGAAACGGAAGCAGCAGCAATAACAACCATGACAAGGACAACAAAGAAGAGCAGCAGGACAGGGCAAAAGCTAGCAGCATCAGCAGGATCAGCAGGAGCACAAACCGGATTGGTATCCAGTGAAGAAGTCACCGGAGGAGGAGGAGGAGTAGGAGTCGCCGGAGGAGGAGTCACGGGCAGCTTGGTGCTGACACCTCAGCAGATCAACGGACTGCCCGTCTACAACCAACTGGAGGAGGGCGAACGATCGTCGGCGGTGGGCACCTACAGTGGACAGTTCGCCTACTTCTATCCGCACGACGGCTCGGCGCCCAGTGTGTTGCTGCTGGGCGAGGACTTTTACCTCAACGTGACCGAGCATCATCAACAGCAGGAGCTGCATCCGCATCCGCATACGTATCTGTATCCGCATCATCATCAGTATCAGTTTGTCTGAGATGTCTAGGATCATTAGGATGTCCTGAATGTCCAGGATGTCGAGTGGGAGAGAGGGAGTGAAGTTTGAGACGAAGAAGATAAAGATGAACCATGTTTGCTCGCCTTGCCACTGGGCACTTTACGATTACTGTTGATTCAACGTTCATTCGGTTGGCTTCGTTCCTCGTTAATTAACTGTACGATCAGAGGTCTGTTAAACTGTTCCTTTTTCTATATCCCCCAATTCAACGTGACCGGTGACCGGGGATCGGTCTTTAAATCTTTAAATGCCTTTCCACGGCACTTGGCCAACAGACACGCGCTCCTACTTTAATAATCTAACTACATATGTAACTACCCGAGAGTTTGAACCGCAGACTGAACTTCAGCCGCTGTTAGATGTTGAACAGAGACAACACCACCACCACCACCACCACCAGCACCACTGACCCTTGACCCCCGAAAAAAGGAAGAAAACGATTGCGAATCAACCTGACCATCAGTAATTTGGCTATATATATATACCCTTTTACCACCCTTACACAAAACTTACAACTTGCGCGTTAATTGTGTGAATTGCTTTGCGTACGATAACTAAATTTTAATTTGTAAAACCTTAAAAACAAAAAAAAAAAAAACAAAAACACCGAAAAAAAGTATTGTGAAGCCAAAATTGATTATGTTTGCCCGGTCAATAATCGTTTTCATCTTTTCCAACTTTCTTCAATTTTTTTTGTAATAAACGAACCCGAAAACCTAAAGCAGCAATGACTTAATTTTGGATTTGCCAGCCCCCATATATAGTTTTTTTTAATAAACAAACAGACACACACAACCTAAAAAAAGAAAAAAAGAAGAAGAACAAAAACCGTATGCATATAGCCTGTTAATTACGGATTGACCTTTTTGTGTGCCAAGTGCAGCAGACGAAGGCGGAGTGTTGGGTTCCAGTCTAGAAATTCCAAGCAACAATCTAATTGCAGGCTGAAATGATAAATTAAAGCGATGATATGTAAATATTAGTCAAATTACGAACGAGGAGGAGGGTTCGATTCGGAAGTATTTGTCGGGTGTATCAGAAGTTGCTCAATGAAATTCAAATCACAAAACAAAAGGATAAATTAAAGTAAACTTAAAGTATGTGTAGAAAACTGTTAAAAAAAAGAAAATCTCCAAGCGAAACAGACGAGAAATGTCATATTTTGTAGAATATTTTCGGTGAGTGTTAGGCGACAACAGCAACATATGTGAATGATTGATTGATTGATCGAAGTGTTAAATCCAGCTGGGTGATAATTTATGAATGATTAACTGATATACACTTAAAACGTAAATATGCTCTAAACAACAAATATTTATAGTTTGAAACGAAAAAAAAACACTTCTTCGGGAAAGCATCAAGAAATGTTTGCTTTATGTGTAAGTCTCCTTTTTGCAATTGCAACAAATACAACAAACGACTAAGAAATATATATAGTACTTGTACGCAACCGTAAAAATATATTTATATCCACAACAAATGAAAGACAAACGGTCAACAAACAAAAAACAAAACGGTATAAATCGAAGATGTGTTGTTGATGACGATGAACGATGAACGATGAGCGATGAATGATGAATTATGAATGATGAGTGATGAATTATGAATGAAGAATGATGATTACAATTACGATGTTTCCTCTCCGCGTGCATTCTTTGAGAACTTTGAGAATTGTCTACCAATTACACACTTTTGTATAATGTTAACCCTGAACTTGTGTTTTGAATTTATGTATTAACTTTAGTTTAAACATTGTGACATAATGTACGATGTACGCTGTATGTATGTGTATATATCCAGATTATCTATATGCATATTCGACAAGGTCCAAAGCCAACGTATTCCAATTTGCGATCTGCAAAACATTTTACTTAGTGCAAACTTTAAAACAAACAAACAAACCAGTTAACCTGATACTGAAACCGAAACTCTAAAACTGAATCAAAATCTAAACCAAAAACAGAAAACGGAAAACTTCAAAAACAGAAAGTTAACAAGAAAAAAAAAATAAAGATAGGGAATCTGTCAGAATTCTTTGGTTTTGCCAGCTGCATGAAAAGGTTTATTTTTTATTTGGGTCCCATCGCTAATGCCTGGGCTGGGCGGATTGTGTTTTTACATACAATACAATACAATACAATACAATAAAATATATAGATATATACACATATATATTATTTAGCTGTATGTTAGTTGGATAAGCCTGTAGAGAAGTGGACATTTTTTGAAATATCTCTAGCATGTAATCTTAAATTTATACATTTACATATACCGATAACGATACAAGATACAGATACCAGATATAATTGTAAATTCAAGCAAATCAATCAACAATCCATTGAGATTTGTATATAATATATATACTTAATTACGTATATCTAATTATTATACCAACAAACCAACACACACCTACACACACACACACATACACCACAAGCAGACAGACACCACACAAACACACACACATAAAACACACCAACACCCACAAAACAATATATAAATATTACTTACATATTACATTATATATATAAATGATAATAATAATAATGTATCTATATCTATACCATATACAACAATTACCATACATATTACTTCTGTGCGCTTCTTGCGATCTAAGGAATTTCAATAAAAACAAACAAAAATACCTAAAAAGTATAAAACCCACGAAAAATACAAAAAAATATACAAAAAACAAAAATATAAATCCGTTCCGAGCATTTATCACTCTGGCTGGGGTTTTGGATATGGGGACATGGCGAATGGAGCGAATGGAGGAGCTTGGGGCTCGAGAAGTTCGTTGGCAGATTCACCGCCATCCATAACCAGTTGGCCAATGGAATGGAATGGTGTGGTGGTCAACTGTTTCCTCCTTTCCAATTTTATGGCTAACATCTGCCGATTATGAGCGAGCGGAGTTGGGGACCCGTCGAAATGCATCTTGGGACTTAAGACACAGCTCCAACCTCGACTTGGAGCTCCCAACACCAAACTCCAAACTCCAGCTGGAGTTACAACTTCATCTTCATCTTCATTTTCATCTGCAGCCGGTTGGCTTTCGCTTCTTCTTTTGCTGGTTTCACTTTTTGTACAATTTATAATTCGCATGTGTTTTCGGGTAATTGTATAATTTTTTTTTAGCCAATGCAGTCGTCTAGTGTCCACGTTATATGACCCGGAGCGGGTCCATGAAGTTGTTGATAAGTGGGAAATATGACAAATACACAAACACACTGCGCCGCAGGTGAACGGATAGCCATGCGGCAGCGACTTTGTAGTCGGCATCTTGTCTATTATTGGTGATTTATGCATTTTGATTAGCTTGTTAATGGCCCAAAGAGTTTTTCGCGTGCCTGAGAAGATACTAAGCTGGCCAAAAATAGATAACAAGTCTATGCAGATGAGCCACCAGCCGAAAGAGCCACATGAACACTTGTTTGGATTAAAACAAATGGCTAGGAAATGGTTCCTTGAGATATGTATGTTGTTGGACCCGACGACTTACTCGCCTGTGCCATTACCAACAAAGTATCTTAATAGTTGGTTATATCTGTTAGAAAATCATTAAAACTGGTAGCACTGCAGACCATGATTTTAGTGCTGGCTTCGAGGTTTTCAAATATCAAGTATACGCGCCATCACGCTGGAAGCTTTCTGAAAGCTTTCACTTTTAAATCAGTCAGAGTTTGTCAAGGGTCTTAGGAAAGTATTTTTTGTTGGCATTTTAAATAAATATATTCCGTTTAAAAAAAATTATGTATGGTAAAGGTCTTATTTCAAAATATAAAATAATTGCAAGGTTCAGCTTATTGAAAGAATTAGAGGTTTATAAAACAATTATGGTGTATTTCCAATAAATGCCAAACGATAGCATACTTTTAAGCGCATTTAAAGTAAGTTTAGTGCATTTGAAGTTATGTTTTTGTTAACTCTTAACTATGAAATTAAAATTGTATTTAAAACCAATTTTATATTTAATAATGGAAAAGGTAAGATCCGGTAAAAAAAATGTTTCAATGAAAACAGCAAGGAATAATTGTTTCAAAAGGATTCTTCAATTTTATAAAAATAATTACGTAAAAAATAGTGCATTTTATTAATTTCGACTTAGCCACACTGCTGAAACTGGTCGAAAGTTTAAAGCTGGGCCGAAAGCTCTCGCCAACTTCAGTGTCGAACGCGGATTCCAGACGAGCGGTGGCCGAGC